GAATAAATATGATGAAACATAAACTAGAACCACTTCAGAGGAAAATCATTAACTTTAGCAAAGTTCATTGTTTACTGGCCAGACAAATTCAGTTCCCCCTGAATTAATCGATGCAATAGTTTTGATCATAATTCAAAGGCGAGGAGCAGAGTGTGGTGGTTTATGCTTGTAATCCTGTTACTGGGAAGGCAGAGGCAGTGGGATCTCAAATTTGAAGGCTGCTTAGGCAACATAATGAAACCTTGCCTCAAAAAAAAACAAACAACAATAAGGAAGAACAAAGAGAGGGGGAAAGAAAAGGAAGGAGAAAAGAAAAAATGTAAGAGAATAATTTGAGAAAGGATCCGATAATCTTATATCAAATTATTATTATGCACTGAAGAATAATGATCCAAGAATAGGTAGGGCAATTCTGAAGGAAACAAAGGAGGGGGATTTGCCTGAAAATAATAGGACTTAATGAAAGCTGAATTAAATAAGTTTATGATACAGGTGGTGTGAAATGCATATGTTATAAAGAACAGACGAACCAAAATGAAAATGGCAGGTGACTAACAGGTCAGGTCCCATCAGAAGAGAGGAAACTACACAGCAAACAAAGCTTGGAACAGGATAATCTGTATGAATATTTGGGCCTCGATTTCTGTAAATTATTTCTGCTGCATCTCTAAACCTAATCCTCACCCTTCCATCCTCCTCTTGGTGGTGCACTTGTTCTGTCAATGTAGAACATTCATTTTCACCACAGAGGACAAGAAAAGCAAACAGAATGTATAGAACACATTGGAGACATTAACTATTTAGATTATAGTAATTGGTAAGACACTAACATAATTCAGATCTTGTGCTAAAAATAGGAAGTAACCTGAATGAATGGCGTGTGCAATTAGAATAAATACAACATATTTCAAAATGATGAAACAAAGTAGAGTGTTGCTCACAGGTAGAAAGAAACAAGAAAGCAAATCATAACCAATGTATTGATCATGTCATCTCTGAGCCAACAGCATGCTATTCCTATATTGCTTGCTTATTAGTGATATTATTCTGTCCCTGAAATTCTCACAAGAAAGATGACTGCCTAGAAGACTGATAAGCTATGTAAGTGAGCCTCAGGCCAGGCCTCTCCCAGTAAAACAACAGTACATGGGTTCCAGGTGCCTTCTGTATGCTGACTGCCTTATTCTACACTCTCACTTCTGGTCCTTATAGTTACAGCTTCCTTGTTGGAAGCACAAGATCTAGATGGTACATGTATTTGCACTCCACCCAAGTAGATTAACCTTCCCCAACTCTTGCCTCTTGGTTCTGGCATTTTGTGCCCTAATTAATCTTGTGACTGCCTCATAATAATGTGGTCTGAGTGTTCCTGACCTGTGTCTTTTAGAATAGACTGCTTGTCATTGAGACAGCCATCACATCAAGATAGTTTCTCATAAGACACTGGGATGGAGAATCAGCAGGCCAGATGTTCCAGACTTCACTGCCAGTAGATGTCTAGTCTGATTACATCTAAAGGAGGTCCTGGAGGGCAAGAAGAGTAAAAGAGGGACTCATTTTTAAGATACAAATTCTCATTGCTTCACTCCAGTATCCGACACCACCACTATTAAAGATCTTTCCATGCATACGGAGACAGTCCCTGAGTGCTTTTAAATACTTCCAAAAGAGTATTTGCAACATAGGGGATGGGAGGAGCTTTGGTTCCAAAGTATGAAACTAAAAATAGAAATAAATGCTTCATTAATGTCCATAGAAGGTAACTTTAACATGTAAGCTGCAATTCAATTCTTCAGTAATTTTATACAAATGTGTTAAGGCTTAGATTATAAATAAAAAATAAGGAATACTTTTTAAAACTCAGATTTATTAAAATCATCAGCTTCTATGGTTCAAACGTTTCCTCTAAATTTCATTTCTTTTTTTTTCAAGACAGAGTTTCTCTGTGTAGCTTTGGAGCCTATCCTGGCACTCACTCTGGAGACCAGGCTGGCCTCGAACTCACAGAGATCCACCTGCCTCTGCCTCCTGAGTGCTGGTATTAAAGGCATGTGCCACCAACGCCTGGCTAAATTTCATTTGTTAATCTGCAAATTTAGATCTTAATGGTATTTGGTCTCTGCCCTGATGGATAAATGAATCTATTTAAAGATAAATGGGCTATCCAGGGGAGGGCTCTGAATCCAAATTCAGCAAGTTATCACTCACTTGTTCTGTCTCACCATGTGATACCCTCTGCTATGCTATGATACAACAAAAAAGGTTCCCAATAGACAGCCAATGGGTGCAGATACAACACTCTTAAACTACCAACACTCTAGAACCATGAAGCAAAAATAAATTTCTGTTCTTGTTTTTAAGTTTCCTCTTTGTTTTTGTTGGAACAGTATCTTGTATACCTCAGTCTGGACTCAAACTTGCTAATATAGCTGAAAATAACTTTTTATTTGTTCATCTTCCTGCCTCCAGCATTCTCTGTTCTTTATAAATTATCCAGCCTCAGGTGTTTTGTTAAAGAAACAGAACTAAGATACTGCCTTTCACATCAAAGGCATAATATTTAACACTCTGTGTGCTTTGGGAGGGATGGGACAGTACAGGACATTTCGTAATAAGTGTGACCATGACCTTTACAAAGGATCCCACTGCGATACTCTTGATGCTTTCCGTTTGCACCCTCTGCTTTAAGTGGTATAGCTATAATAGCTGGGGTCTTCTTCTGGCATCCCCTTATGAGATGGAGTCTAAAAGCAGGGGTGTTGAGGGGCAGCCTGGGAAGAGATGTGATTGCTCAGTTCTACCTGGTCTGTGAGTCATCAGAAGGTTGAGGCAGTAAGTGGACTTGTACACGTGCTAGAAGAAAGCTGTGAGTGATGCGTCACAGTGACTGCATGCTGAGGGCCAGTCCTCCATCTGCTTTATATTTTGATCTCATGATAGCTATGTAGACCAGAGAAGTACAGCTTTGGTTTCTCCAAGAAATGGATTTCCAACCTCCTAGATGTCTACATTCACTTTTCTTCCCTGCTGCTGAACACTGCTTTGTCTTTACACTTTATACCTAGCATGTCTTCATTTTCTTTCAGAACCTCTTGAACTTTAGCATACTAAGAATGACAGACAGCACATACTACAAGTTGAGATTCTTGGCACTCAGCCTTGCTTCTGGTTCTATATGAATTTTGTTTTCAGAAACTTTTGCATGGAATCAGTGTCTCTCTCACTCCCCACTCTCACTCTGCTTCCAGTCAAGAAGTTCAAGTACAAAAATAAGTTCCCTATAGTCCCATGTCTCATGGTCCAGAAGACAAAAGACATTTAAAGTAACCAGAGGAGAACCTGGAACAATGGTACACACCTGTAATTCCAGCATTCAGAAAGCTTGAGCTTTCTGAATTAAGTAACCAGAGAAGACATCAGGAAGTAAAGATAGACTCAAATATGGGAATTCATTTTCATACAACTACATTTTGCTCATAATTTTATGGTAGGTATCTTAAGCAAATTCACTTTTAAAGCTGAGGAATTAGTAGAGAAATACGGTATTTTCTTGTTATTTTATATCCCAAGCACCAAAGTCTGATTTTGAAAGCATATTTCCAAGTCCTTTCTGTCCCCAGCTTGCAGGTTCTCCATCACAATGTGTCAGATATAAAACATCAACTGCAAGTTGACACAAACTCATCTCACACCACTGTATTCAATCAGCCTCTGCCTTTATGTAATGAAAACCTTTGCTCCCTGTTTAAATGGCATTCTAAGTAACAAAGAGTAAAAGTATGGGTTTGAGGACTGATAGTCTCCTCCTCAACCCAAAGTATATAAGGCCTGACATGAACAACATAAACAGTTCTACTTTGCTCTTGCTGGTAAGTTCTTTAGAGGAATAAATACAAAAGCACTCCAGAGTAGTTGTCTTATCTTCCTCTCTCCCTTTAGGCTATGTGACCAGACAGTATAGAAAAAGTGGAGCCCAGTAACCCTTCTGTGCCTTATCTTAGCTTCTACCTGATGCTGTCATCTGCCAGGTCTGGCTCCTCTCTCCTGCCTTTATCTTTCTGATCTGTGACTAGTCAGCCTGTCCAACTAGAATCCTGCAATTCAGTGCATCAACATACAGAACTATTGCTGAGGAACAGGAAGCTCAAGGAGTGCTAGAAGGTGTGTTAGGTGGGGATGTGGTGAGGGTGGGAATCCAAGGAATCCTTAGTTTGAAGGGGAGGCAAGCAAAGCTCCCAGAGACTTAGATCCAGGGTTGAAGAGACTTTGGAGAGAAGCCATCCTGGGTGCTGTGGAGTAGCTGCTGTGCTATCTTTAACTGCTATGAACTGACTAGCTAGGAAAATACGAATGGTCACAGGAAAATAAATACAAATTCTATAGATTTTCCTGGGAAAATGAGTGTAAACGAGAGAGGGGGGTGACAGCAAAAGAGCTGGATGGGTCAAGTGGCTCTTGCTGTCCTGCTCACTTTTAACAAGCAGTAGAGAGTCTACTGTGACTATCACTAAGGCATCTTCGGATTTGTGTTATTTCCTGATTAGCTGGAAACCTTAGTCCTGTGAATTTAGGCTCACAGTGGCCTCCTACCACACTTAAAACTTGAAAATAAAGAAAACAGAAAGGATAAACTTGACCCTGCCCAGACGCAGTCTCGGTGACACAGGGTTAAAAGTGAAGTTCGAAGACCTACGATTCCGATCTGCCCACTTAGTCAGCGGCTGGCCTGGCAGCCTTCCAAGTCATCTGTCTGCAGCCCCAACCTCGTTGCTTATGTCCTGGGCCTCTGGGTTGACCGGGAACTCACGTTGGCAGCAGCCAAGGAGAGGGGCCGGCTTCGCCAAGACACAACAGGGAGGGGATAAGCCAGAGTCCCCCACCCCCTCCGGACAGGGAGCAGGGAGGAGAGCCAGTATCCCCCACCCCTGCGCAGGGCGGAGGAGCGCTTCCCGCGCCCAGCGCCTCCTGCACCGACGCATCTCCGGAGCGGTGGCGCGAGAATGCAGGTCCACAGGGACGCGCACGCGGGGCTCCTGCTGCCATGGGGCTGGGTGGCTCTCTGCCTGATGAGTCTGCTGCGTGAGTATTAACCGCTGAGGGCCAGGCTATGGGTGGGGAGAAGGGAAGGCCCCCAGCTTTTGACCTCCCCTGGGAATCCTTCCCTGGGGCTAGGTGTGAGTTTACTCTGATAGTGCTGAGAGATGCCGGCTAGCTGTTCATTGCCTGGCTGAAGGTGCAAAGCTCAAAGTTGGAGCTAGAACGCAGATGGAAGGAAGGAAAAGTTCTGTAACTGTCCTTGATTGAGAAAGCAAGGGCCCACAATGGGGCCCAGGGAAGGGTCCAGGCACCCTTTGTTCCCAGGACATGGACTTAAAGAGTTTGTAGGAGTAGCCAATTCCAATTAGGGCCAGGAGACCCTTAAAGGGGAATGAGGGATAGGACGTTAGTGAAGGAGTTTGGAATAAAGAACAAGCAGAGAAAAAGAAGGAAATTTTTAAAATTTAAGATTAGAAAGCTAAACTAGAGTCGCCCCTGCAGATACCATGCAGATGCTAGTGGGAGGTGGTTTGGTGTACACACCAAGTCCTTCTGCTCACCAGTCTTTACCCTGCACAAACCCACACTCATTACTCTTTGGAATTTTCTTGTCCTGCTTTCCTTCAGATTCTAAAGCTAGTGGGCAGGCCAAGACACCTCCTGCTGCCCACACATACTCTTACTTATTAAGCTCTCCCTCTCTTTGGTTGGCAAAAATGGTATTCACTCAGTCTATAGCAAATTGGATTGCATTGGAGGGTGCTGTTCTTCATCCCATCTCATGTTCTTAGAGGTTCTCAATGCTGGGTTTTATTCATTTTGGTTCTAGCCCTTTGGGGTTCCTAAATCCCCATTATACATTTTAAAGACCACTCACCATGGCTCTGCTGAGTGACTGGGATCTGCCCACAAGGCTTTGTTGTTCCCAATATCCTGTGCTATTTTCTTTGGGTCCACCCCAAAGAGACCTGACTGAGGAGAAGTTGAATTAGGTTCTGGATTCTTCTGACTGGCAGCCCTGGACACGCCCTTTTAGATGGGGTAAAACTTGCTGAAGACTGAAATGCCCCAATGTGCCTTCATAGCACAGGTGGGTGACCATGGGCTAGATGGAGTTCTCATTAAATGCTCTCTTGGTTACTCCTTCAGCAGTGACCCAGGCCCGGGTGGAGTGCTGCCTTTCTTATTTCCTCAGCTGGCCCATGTCAACCATGTCTTGAGCTGAAGGGGTGGGGGTAAAGAACATAAAAGCCTCTGAAAAACTTGGGCAAATACACTGAGGCAAATACATCAGTGTCTCAGCTTTGGGGTAAAGGGCAGGGCAGGGGCCACCATTCCCAACCCAGCTAGACTTCATGGGCTAGCCAAGGCCTTGTACTTTTTCCAAGAACTTCATAGGGTTTGTATTAGATTTTTTTGTTTGTTAATACTGTTATTTTCTGTCCTGGGATACATTGTGGAATAAATTAAACCAAAGATTTATGTAATTAAAAATGCCCCCAGTAGACAACAGCAAAAATTCAGTGCTGCTATTACTGGAAAATTTGGTGTAGAATGGGACTTCATTCTGAAGAGATAGGTCTCTTCTGTCCCTGTGAGAAGCTAGTATAAACACCTACTAGCCAACCACAAGTGCTACTTTTTCAGGGGCAAGAGAGATCAGTGACTAGAGTCTGGGTAGTGGCTGGGGACCACCAGGCAACACTTTCATGCTCTAGCTGAACTAGAAGCCTTTCAGGTAACTAAGGACCCTCTTTACCTGGTTATCCTTCCTCAAGGCGTGCCTTACCCCTACCCCAACCCTACCTTCAGCTCCCACTCACATTTCTTTTCTTCCTTTGGGTCCTTTGAGTCTGCGGACTTCACGCTTATATCCTGCTTGGGGCTACATGTAAAAGCGGGGGTAAAGACTTTTATCAGCTATTTTCCAGAAGGGAAAGGCCTCCACCCTTTACTCCCTGCTACATGGTGAGAAAGAGAAAGAGTCTAGGGGCTGCTGAGTAATTAGGGGTCTGAATGCTCCCCCTTGGAGGGCCAAACCACACTTCACAACCTTTGCAAATACACTTCATCTTGGGCATTCCTGCCCCCAGGTCTCTTTCTTTAACCCTTTGGCCCCACCCCTTGGGCCTGTTCATGGAGTTGCCCTTATTGCTTTCTTTTCCTGAGTGGTCTTTGTCTCCCAAAGTCCAAGACAAGAAGTGACAAACTGCTGCAGATAAAGCTGGCCACAGAGTCATAGAAAAACAAGCAAAAAGGGGAGCCAACTCCACTGCTTATGATCTTGCCTGATTTTCTTTGACTTTGTGTTTGAGGACCTGGGCTTACTCTCAGGGTTCTCCAACCCTGTACTCCAGTACCTGGGACTTCCCTCTCTCATTGACTTTGATTCATCTAATTAAATGTCCTGTAATGTGGCAAACTAAAAATGTGAAGGCATGGAAAAATGCAAATTCATCTCTAAAAGAAATGTTCACAGTGGCCAGGGTAGAATTTACATATTTTGAGAGGGGATTTGATGTTTCTAATGATAATATTTTCTTGTTATGTTGGCTAAGAAATAAAAACATAATGTCTTTAAATTTACCCTCAAGGATCCTGGCTGTGCTATAGGAAGAATGGTACATGCATCTTGGGGTGGAGTGAGGTAGAGATCCAAACAAATTAGGAGGCCTGGCAAGGTATACTTCCCTGGATCTACACTTGGGAAAGGCAAAGAATGAATCATTTCCCTAATGATGCAAAGGAAAAGGCCTCCTGGCTTAACAAGGAAGTCTGCTGCTTCCTGGAATGGAAAATAAAAGTGAGCCTCTCAGAGAAGTGGTATCCCTAGGTAGTTTGCGCCATTGCTTAAGAAATGTGTAAACGGGTCTTTGGGTAAGAAATCTTAGAGCCCTAGATAGACTTGGAATGTCCAAAGGCAGGCAGGAGGCAGAGTGGCTATGTGGAAAGTAGTCTTGTGTTGTGGTAGGCTGAGACAGAAGGCAGAAGGACTCCAGAGCCCAAGGTGAACCCCGAAGGCTGAGGCTTCTGCAGAGTTGGAGGACTTAAAGGAGATTTCTTATAGAATAGCTTCATTGGCACAGCACTGACTAACATTTCAAGGTTATGCCACTGCCTCTTCGACTGATCTGTAATTTACTCCATGCATTCACACTTCTGGCAAAAAACTGCCCAAGTAGACCAGATTTGCCTGAGAAGGATTCAGAGAGACTGAAGGAAATGGTTCTTGGCTAGCTGACCTGCAGAAGTGACAACAGTGATCAGAACAAGGCACTGAGCTGGCCTCCAGGAGTGAGTAGCACCAGAAAAATGAAAGAAAGGCAAGTGAGAGAAATGTAGGCCTCTTGGGGTTCCAGAGGAGTGGAGGAAAGAAGACAAGCTACTTGACTGTGACAGGGAAATCTCAGTGTGGTGCGGATGCTCATGCCGGTTCTTGCTGACTCCTCTGCCTTGCCTCTCAGCGGAGGGAAGCTTCTGTCAGGCCCTATGTCCTAGTCCAACAATGGCTCAGACTCAGGGTTATGGCAGGTGTGAAGGGACCTGAATAAGATTTTTCTGAATATTCATTTACCTAGTGAGCTCATCTGTTAAAAATAATAGCATCTGTCATAAGTTAGTTTCCTGTATTGCTGTGAAATTAGCCTTTCTCTGATTTGTAACCATTGTCTTATTTCTATTCTTTGGATTGTCCCAGGATGAATTCAGTCTTCATGAAAATCTCTAAAGACCTGTCTAGCCAGCCCCACCCCTGGAGAGATTTGTGTAAATCACAGCAATGCTGAAGCCCTAAGGGTGGAAAATAATCAAATCATTCCTTATTCTGTTTTCTTCAGAACGTAGTGATCCTTTGCCTGTCCTTGGTGTTTAAGGGAAAAATGCATATACTGTGAAAGTGAAATTAGTCTACAAGAGGGTTACTTGCAAACTTTTTCTATAGAGGGCAAATCAGAAATCATCTCAGGCTTGGGATCTGAATGTGGCTTCTGAGGTGTATGGCACTTTATCTTACTCTATGACGCTTGAAAATGTAGGTGACATGCTTGACTGACTGACTGGCCACACGATATCAACCTCAAAGCAGAATTTGTCCTAGTTTGAGCCATAGTTTGCCAACTCCTGATTTGGATGGAGTAAAACCAGATCTTTAGCAATGTGACTTGGATTGTAGAATTTTCCTCATTATATGGAGAAACTGGATACCTTTAGCAAATCACTCCCTAATTTAATAAATTTCCTCTTTATACAGAGCATTTGGGTCAGCAAGATGGCTCAGGAGGTAAAAGTGTTTGCCATGCAAGTTTGAAAACCCAAGTTTGATTCCCCAGAACCCAGATGGTAGGAGAGAAATGACTGCAAGTTGTCCTCTGACATCTGCATGTGCTATGGTACACCCTTGCCTGTTCTCACCTCTCTCTCTCTCTCTCTCTCTCTCTCTCTCTCTCTCTCTCTCTCCCTCCCACACCCAACCCCTCACTCCCCAACCCACACACACCGCTA